GAGGGCAGTTGTATAGTATCCCACCAAACAACCGCCCCTGCAACTGATGACACGATCATTCCCTTCTTGAATGCACAACTGATGATGCTTGATTCAACTTCAATGGTAAAAATAGGCTACTAATAAATTGGTCAATTTCTGCAAGATGCATTCATTTAGATTGGAAGAGTTGCAACAAAGATACCCCCGCCTCCCCCCCTTACTTCGGACGGTCCTCACCCCACTTCTCGTTTCCTTCATTGATGATTTATCATAAACAAGACTGCAGCATTGATTATTGTGAAGGGGCATTCAATTTTACAGTGACGAGATGAATTCTCTATTATCGTGTTTGACAAGAACTAGAGGTCACATAATGTGCAGGAAACCAGTGCTTTTAGAGAGCAACAGATTCGAATCAAGTTGGTAGTGACTGAAAAGTGGGAGAGGTTCCACCCTCACGGTTTTGGGGTTCGGGGCATCCTGTACGCCTTTAAATAATAAATTAACTCAATCCGCACGGGGTTGATAAAATCCGTTTGGTAAGGAGACGAGGAAATGAGTCCAAGCTAGTCTTTTTTCGGACAGTTTGATAACGTTTTACTTCCCCATAAAAAGGATTTCAGATTAGAGGAGAAAGGAGGGTTGGGGAGCGTCATCTCTCTAGCATTCCAGTTCTTTATGTGTTTCTTATTATCGACAGTGCAATCTATCTCGTACTCAGTAAAGTTTCTAATATGAAAATTAGATGTGAAGTTGGGCCCCTCTTTTCACGGTTTGCACCACCCCTGAAACCGCCACTGTGGTTATTTTAATAATCTGGGAATATATGCAATCAGTTAAATAAATGAAAAATAAATCTGTTAGTATAGAAATGCAATGGTAGGAGAGGACTAGTTTAAAACCAGTGCGAACCGAGTTTTTAAACTTTTCACCCGGTGAAGACAGAGCAAAAAAACTGAAAAAAAAAAAAATCCCTCATTATAGTCTGAGAGCCTTCTTCACGATTCTCTGTGAGAAGCTTATTCATCAATGAACTTCATTGGAAAATAAATACAATAATGGGTACGTACAATTTAAAAATAAAGAGAATATATTTAAATTATTTGATTTAGTTTATAACTAAGAACAAACTGAAACGAGATAAATAAATGAACGTATTGATTAATTCAAAAGAGACAAATACAGACATGATGATAAACTACTATTTCAAATCTTCTTTTCTATCATATAATAATTACAGCATGTTTAAAATTAAAGTTGAAAAATAGAACAAGTAAAAAATATTTTAAAAAACCTCCAGACATTGATTAAACAATAAGCAAAACTGAGGACAGTCAATTGTAAAAAAAAAAAAAAAAAAAAAAAAAAAAAAAAAAAAAAAAACAATATTCTAGAATGTGACTGTTTTATCAGTCAGTTTATTTACACTTTGAAAAATGTAATTTTCTTTTTTCTTTAAAGCAATACAACTAAAACAATCACAAAATTAATGTAACACGACCGCTTTGAATATTTTTGCAAGGATAAGTGACTGCAAAACCTTGTATACATGTAGAAAGAAAGAAAAAATGGGAAAAAGGTGCTTCAGCGTTAGCCTACAAATTAATGGTAAAAATGTCCTTAATGGGAGAACACAGCTGTTTTAGGGAGAAATTTTATAGCAAATTGAGTTCATGTCTACTAATTTTTGGTAATTTATTGTGAATTTAACAAAATTATGTGCATTAAAGAGTCCGAAAATAATCTTATAAAATCGGACTAAATAGTTATCAACACAACTCTTTGCGCACATAAACCTCGAACGAAAAATGGCATGATTTCTAAGTGTCTCGATAATTTAGGACTCAAAAATCTACATACTGTAAACTTAAAGTTACTTCAGTCAAATTATAGCTGTGGAAAACCAAAATTGAGTGGCTGCATCCATGGGATAATTTATGCATTTTTTAAAAAAAATTCATGGGTTTTAACTCGGTAAATCATAAAGAGACTTCAATAAACAGCTCTTAAACTCTCCAATAATCCAAAAATCCAAAACCATTTGAGCTGAAAACCAAATCTTAAAAATAACAAACGAATTCAATAAAATAATATTCTTCACGAATAAATCAGTATCGTTCTAACAGTTAGACTAGATTAAATTATGCTTGTTCACATCGCATTTTGTATCGAATCTTTGAAGATGGTGCGATCAAACCCTAATGCATCACAATTGGATTAAAATTATGACAAAGATATATAGATGTAGAATATTTTTCAGGGGTTGCAAAAAACTAACTTTTCACTCTTGTTTTGACTAGAGTTACTGAACGTGACAGAGTTCGACAGAAATGCTAAGGATTTTTTTTAAAAATTGGACGTATTTCTGCCAAACGGCACTATGCGCATTGAGACATGAGCCCCAAGACCCTTAAGAATATATGCATAACAGGGCTCACGTCATACGGCACGTAGTTCCATTTGGCAGAAATACGTCCGAGGCTAATCAATGCAGTTGATTGAAACATATCAAGCACTCTGGAGTCAGGAGAGACATTTTATCGGCTCAAAGTGTTTTTTTTTTTTTCAGCGAAAATATAAATGATTAACAAAGAAATAAATTAGTATCAAAATAAGTAATAGATACAGGAGAAAACTATTTCATAAACAGTTTCGTTATAGGCCTTCTAGAGTGGGAAATCGGATTTGAAAAAAGATTAGTGCACCGGCAACAAGAAAGCTTACTTAGACAATCATTCAGTTATTTTTTCAAGATTAACAAAATTATCGGTATGCAGGCAATGATTAATTACCAGTGAAAGTATGCATAATCTCCTCTTGAAAGAACACCGTCTAAAAGATTAGTTGTATTAATTTGTGACTTCCGAACTCTTTGATGTTCAGTGCCTCTGATTTTCATGACAGAATGTAAGGTGGGTTTTGGAAAAAAAAAAAAAAAAAAAGTTCAGCTTTGGGCGATTCTTTTTATTTCTCATTTATCCCCTTTTTCCTCTAACTCGTATTTCTACCTAATGAACTCTGTAATTAAACATGATACAGTTTTCACGGAAGAAAACGTATAAGAAAAGAAAGGTGAGAAATCTATGCTATTTGCACATAATTGAGCACAAAGTTATCATGGTCGTTGTACAATTGTGTAAGCCGTGTCTGAAGGATAGGAGTAAAAAAGTTCATCCTGTACCAAGAACACAGATGTACCTTGACGAGTAAAGCAAGTACCTAGGAAAGTGACTCAGAGTTTAGGAAAGGGATAACACCACGACAGAACCTTCCAGAGGTGAGAATGCTGACTATGATAACCTCCTGATGGAACTGATTTATTTCTTTCTTCTTTTTTTTAAATGATACAATTTGATATTCGCACCGCAGGCACGAGGATAGAAATATACACATACGTATTTTTCATCAATCATATTTCGACAGAATTGAGTGATTTTTTTTGGTCGCATGGAAACATGACGAAAAAGTTCTATGCTCAAAGCGCAAATGACGGGAGGAATAAAAGGCAGTTTGGATTCACTAGCTCAAGAGACAGAGGTAGGATGGAAATAGGTATAGCTGAAAACACAACAGATGATTCTCACAAAACTGCTTTTGAGTAATGTCAACGCTTCCAAACTCGGAAAACCCCCTAATTTTGGTCAAGCGCTTTTAGTTTCCCTGAAATTAGTGAGCCACATATTCGGGACTCGCTAGTAAGTACCACTAAACTGCCGTGCTAAGGAAGAACGCCGCATGAGCATTCGGGAGTTGCCAAATTTCCCCGGATAAAACATGCATTTCTGAGGAAAGTTATGCATATTTTTCCAAGAAAATTTCAGATGTTTTGAATTAAATTGCGAACAAAATTGTCTGGAAAATTTGAAGAGAAGTATTCAAAATTTTTCCAGTGAATCCGGTTTTTATTGATGGAAATTTGACGACGTTTAAAGGCTCATACGGCGTTTTTCCTAAGCATAGCAGCAAACACGGGGAAAACGGTCTTTGCGGCGGCAAATGAAGCAACACATTTTTAACAAAGGAGAACAACGAAAAATTCAAAAAGCTACCGTAACATATCATGCCACAAATTGACCGTCTGATAGTGGGTGCGAACGGTTACAAATCACAATACGTGCGAGTCTGATAAAGTGGCCGATCCTATCTTCACAAGACGACCACGTTATCATTTCTCATTAGCGAGTATGCCGTTTTTTTTTTTTATCGCAGCAAAGTTTGGAGGGAATTTTTATTGCTACGACAGTTTATTTTCACCAGTCGGTGTTGTCAGATGTTAAAAATTGCGTGGAACTTTTCGATTCATTTCGACGAGCGTATCGTCCAAGACCGTGACCAATGGTAACTCTATTCCCAGCGGAGAGGCTCTCAAAGGCGTTTGGTGAGCGGGTAATGAACACGATGTATAATATGATGGAATACTGTTCAGCAGCTTAAGCTGGGATTGAGGTACCTATCTATTGAAAATAAATATACACATATATAATATAAAGAAAAAGAGAGAACGCCTCTCTTTAGCTAAACATGAGAGGGAAGACACAGCCTGGTGCTCGACAGACCCTGAGCGACGGGATGCCCCGAAAGTTTGTTCAAATTCTCACCGGCTGCCAATGAAAAGAGTAAACGATGGCTAACGAGATTATTACGCATGCGCCTCGAGACATGACGCTGGCGGTAAGATTCATCATTCTGGGAAACCTCAAGTGTTTGCACATAAAAATTGGAGCAATTTTTCCATTTATAGAGGACACTGCAGAGGAATAACCCCCTCCCCCTCCAACCTTCCTCAAGCCATCAAGTAACAGTTAGTGATGGGGAAAAAAGTGAACAACTTGTGAAATAGTTGAGAATAAAAAAAGGGGAAAATGGAAAGCAGTGTCGTGGTGTGAATTGCGATAAATAGATTGTTATGCCATTTAAACCTATGGGAAAGGATCGAGAAACAGGGTGTTCGCAGCGAACACCTTAATAATCGATTTTTTACCATAGGTTTAAATGGCATAACAATCGATATTTCGCAATTCACGCCACGCCACTGATGGAAAGAGGTTGAATATCACGTGAGAGGAAAAAATGTCAATATTCATATCTCACGAGCTGTATTCGTGTATTTTTACGGAAAAGTAAACTCGATTTTACGTTACTTTTCAAAATGTTTCGTTGATACGTTAATCCTTTTTAGACTCATTCTAAATTGAGCGAAGAATTGTGTAAAATTTTACGTGAAGTCGTGTGAACTGTTCACGTAATAATTTCCCTTACGACGAATACCAGGAAATTAGGACTATACTTAGAAAATTATGGAATAATTACATTCGATTTGATTTCTATCTTTTCCTTTTCCCCCTTTTTTTAACAGAAAAAAATGATGGTATCCATCGTGTGTTCATTTGTTAATTTTCATGTTTAATTTACCTTTTTTTGAAATTAAGGTTTTTTTCAAACCAGGTCTCCAAAGTCTTGACTGGAAGGTCTTAGAGATAATTCTTGGTTTTGGTTGTGGTCACGTCACCAGCTTCTTCAAATCGAATTCCGAGTGATGGAGTTTCTAACACACGACGCGACATGTTGCTCATTTTTTTGTAATGCTCAAGTTTCAGCAGCACATGCATTAGCACACGCACCGGTTCTCGTGTAGTGTGTCTGCCTGCGTTTGCAAGGTGAGGAATGTCTATGATCCTTTCACTTGCCATTAAAAGCTGTGGGTTAAAGGTCTCATATTCCTCTTTTATTTTGAGTGGCTATAATTCGATTAAAACTACTGAATTGCGTTATAAATCCGCGATAGTTGTTTTGAAAGCGCGAGAAAATATTTTTTCAAGTGGGTGGAATTAGATAAGATAGCTCTGCACACCCATGCAGTGCAAATAAAGAAGCTTGAAATTGAAAAGGAAAAGATGCAACATGACTTCAGTTGAGGATCAGTATACGAGATTAACTAATGAAAACATACACTTCCAACAAGGGAAAAATTTATAATTTTGTTCGAAAAATATTTTGAGAAAGTTTTTGATGCGAAAACGCGACCAGACTTTCCTAGTTTATACTTAAGTTGCATGGAGATGAGATTCTGCCCACGTCAGCCAGCGGGGTGGTTCTTAAAAGTTTTTCAATGACGGTAAATTACGTAAAAATTGAACTGAACTGAACTATGCTCCTCATCGGTTGGTAGGGTCGCGTGATCTTATGCACCTATCAGAGCGAATTTCGGATAGGCTATCGACGGCTCGAGTGAACCTGATAATCAAGCTTAATTTCGCATCGATCGATGAGATCACGTGATCCTACAATCGTAAACCAATCAATGAGCGACTTCCGTCCCCGTCGAGAAAAACGTTTGTCGAATGATGGTCTGTCGGAGACTGTAAATAAACTTGAGATCAAATTGTGCCTGGAGTCTAGTATGAACTAATCGTGAGCCTCTGTGTTTAAAGTTTTTAATTGGGACTGATGATTTGTCTGACACATAAATCTAGAGCCCCTAATTCCCCCACCTACAAAAATGTTTAATCAAAGGCCCCCATAGATGAACCATTTTTTAACGTGATCCTAACTATATTAGAGATCAATGAAAATGTTCGATTTTTTGATAATTCATGATAAAAAATAAAATTTCCCAACATTCTGTTTCACTAAATAGTGTATGATATTTTGCTTAAGACTTTCCGACTCATGACGATTATATTGGGGGTGTCTTTACGACATTTCATAAGAGAATCAGATTATTTTCCAAGGGGTACACTTAGACTTTAAAATTTATTCGTGGACAATAAATTATATACACTTTTTTCTTTATCGATCGAAATGCTTGGTTTTTCAAAAACCTTTACAGATGGAGTGGAAATAAGTCATCCTTTTGGATTGAGTATATTGCTCAGCTGTTAATCGAAGGAAAATATTATAGGCAAAACATTAGCTATCTTGGAGTATGAAACAAGCAGCTCTCTCGGAAGGAGCGTAGTCAGAAAAGGACGTAAACTTGAAGAGGGCGTGGAAGGGGGGGGGCGTTGAGAGGTGATCTAAAAGTGCAGTTCCAGGTGAGAAATGAGTAACAAACTTTCAGAGCAGCCTACGAGGACACGGCGGCCGAGTGGGGTAATGCGCGAAATTCGTGATGACGCGCAAGAGAGAGGAAGAATAATTAGGAGGAGCAGGTCATGTAAGAGGTGCAGGTACACGGGACGAGAGGCGCGTAATAGTAATTGTAACCATTGGCGTAGATAAAAGCAGTGGTGGGCAGCAAGCGGGTCTGCTTGGCGTACAAGACCTGATTGCCCAGCTGCGCAATGAGGTTGAGCGTCTGCCTACGCTCGTGGCCCATGAGGCAGACGGTGCTCTCCTCAACGACGTTGTGCAAGAGCAAGAGATACTGATACTTGAGGCTCTCCTCCTCCGGGCCCACGAAGTGGTTCCACAGGTAGTTCTCCAGCTTGGCGCGCTGCTGGAGGATGTCGGGAAAGTCTATGAAGAACCGGGAACACATGTACCGCTCGAGGGTTTTTATGTGGTCCGGCTTGGCCGGATGGTAGTTTTTGACGAGGAGGTTGCAGTACTTGAGGAGGCCGCCGCCACGGATCTCCTCCGGGTGCCTGGTCGCGATGAGCTTCTTCTGGAGATGGTAGAGGGCCTCCTGGAAGTCGCCGTACATGGACTCGCCCACGACGGTCGGGTACATGGTCTCCGTGATGGGCAAGTCGGAGCACTCGTAGAAGAGCAGGAGGGAGTCGAGCACGATCTGGAAGGAGTCGACGGAGAACTCGAACTGACGCTTCATCGAGTCGACGAACTTGAGCTCCACGTTCTTGTGCCCGCGGGAGTTGCCGAGGGAGATGAGGGACCACCGGTCCCCGTCCTGGTTCACTTTCACCATCTTGGAGACGTAGGCTTCCTTGAGGCTGCAGCTGGAGATCCTTTTCCGACTGACGCCTTCCGGCAGGAGATCGAGGAGGGAGTTGAGGACGGCCGCTTTGACCCGGTCGAAGTTCTTCGTCGAGGACAGCTCCACGCCGAAGATGAGGTCGAGGTCGTTGTAGGGCTGCGACTCCGTGGCGAGGACGTGCGAGGCGCAGCCGCCGTTGAGTCGGATGTCGCGCACGCGCATGGCCGGCCCGCCGTCGGCCGTCGGGGCCTCCAGCTTCTCCCGCACGACGGTGACCAGGTCGCGGAGCTTCACTTCCAGCGTCGGGAAGTTGCCGCGCCCGTGGATCATCACCGTGTCGTCCATGACGTCTTTGAGCCGCCGCACTTGCTCGTAGCTGAGCACCGCCAGCCGCTGCTCCGACTCGGAGTCGCTTTTCGTCTTCTCGCCACCCATCTTGGGAGGCACTTCCCAACAGTTTTTCGATTCCGTTGCCACTTACTTTTCTCGCCTGTTCCTAGATCAGCCGGATGACCACACTGCAACAGAAAATCAAACATAAACCGTTAAACCGTGTAAAAGTCCACTTTTAACAAACCGAAAAAGTTACATTTCATCGAGAGAAGGAGGATCAGGGCCGGATTAAGGGGGTGGCCACATGAGCCGTGGCCCATGGCGGCAAATTTAGGGGGCGGTAAATTTTGCAATTTGTTTAAATGTAGGTATAAAAAAATTGCATTCAGAAAAAAAATTATGAATGAGAAAAGGAGACAACATTTATCTATCCTGAGAGCAGAGTAAATTCTAATTGTGTCGTTTTTCGGTGATACAAGAGACAGCATCTTTAATTAGTCGAGTTAAGAGAGGATGAGGAACTAAACACGCAATTCGGCCTGAAGCGTAGCGCAGAGAGGAATGATGACGAGGACTTGAGATGAACAGGACAAGCCTTCGGCGCGGCGGTCGGCATGTAACACATATTAGCGCCTGCAAGACTGCATGAATACTTCATCCACTGCGCCAAACACAGTGCGGTCAGGAGCGGTTGGCGTGAAACGCATAGCGCCTACAAGACTGCAGGAATACTTTACGCATTGCGCCAAACACAGTGCGATCAGCGCGGTGCAGCGGCGGAAGTTAAAGTTATTATACAACATTTATGTTTGTTCTTTCATAATTTTTTGGTTCATTTCTTATAAATGGAGAAGCAAAGTGCCGTGAAATTTTCCTGTATTATAAATTATCTGTATATTATAGAAGAAAAATTCCAGTTTGTTTTAAATGCTGTCTTTTATTGAGAGAAATTTGGCTAAGTTGGAATGTTCTTGCGACATTTAGCACACACATGGGTACAGCAGAACTACCACACATACTTGCATACGCAAATCGGATCCAAGTTCAGAGCAATTAAAAGTGACTGAAGAGTCACTTTTAATTCACAGGGAATGCAGTCAAAAAAATTACCGGGTGGACCACTCGCTCCCTCCAGTATTAAAGCATTTGGTTCCTTTCAGCTAAATAGGTGCATCCTAATTGAATTTGTCGAGTGCGATAACATCATGTTCGCTTTCAAAAAAAAATTCCGCTTGTGCAGACTTAAATCATACATTATTCCTCAATAATACTCACGTACGATTACAAAGCTATGATACAACTATTTTAACGTATACGTGGCATAAATTGCATAACCACTAAACTGAAGGAGAACCACATTGCGTGTGCGTTTTTCGTAATCTTTCACGTGGGCATAGACTGTTATTCTGCGTGAGTTTAATCGGACGAGTAGAAAAGAAGAGAAGACAAAATAAAATAAAGAGAAGAAGGACACGAAAAGAAAATACATGAGAAAATAACGACCCTCGGGTTGTTTAAACGTGAGTTGCGGCCCCGATTTAACCTTCGAAACCAAAGAGCCGAGTTATTCTCTGAAACTTTAGCCCAGTTTAAAATAAGTTTACTCGTTGCCAGTTTTAATCAATATGTGAATCATAATTGATACGAATCGAGAATAGATCATCAGACAATGTGCTTGAGATAAGACGGAGCAGAAGTTTCCGAATTCTTTTCGTTTCTCTCATCCCTCCGCTTTCACAGAGAGAAAAACCTTGGTTGATCAAACATGATGCGTTAATGTAGTTCATAGTATTCAGTTCATAGTACCATGATTTTCGGTTCGGGTAACGAAGCATCCGATCTTACTCAAGAAAAAAAAGTTAGGTCATATTATCAGGAACCGTGTGTACGGTGTTGTTCTTTGTCGGCCGTACTACACGGAGAAAAATCTATGGCTTTATAAACCAATTAGTGGTTCAAATGGAGCAATAGTCGTATATGAACTTATGATTCTCGGTCTGTGAGCCATACTAAGGTACATGTGCATTTATTACATGTATGTTACCTTTACTACTATTAGTGGTGTTCCGTTGAACCACTAATTGGGTTATAAGCCATAGCTTTTCCTCGGTATACTTGGTCCATGAGACCGTACTATCAGTTCTGGAATACGCCTTCTTTTTGCATGCAAAATATGTCTCCGTTGTTTAATTTTGGTTTGGGCGCTCGATTGCATGAACCGAAAAAACGGTTCCTAGAACTACGAGTTAGGTTACCAAACATTATTTTTTCGCTGCAGAAACCGGATTTTGATCTCAATGATCAAAAATGTCGGCCACACGAACCAGGAATTTTGGTTCTTTTTATAAACTGAAGCTTTTTTCTCCGTGTACCCATTCTGTAATTCCCGTTAAAAATCAATCAGAGACCGAGTAAGTACATCCGTATCGTCGTCTGGGACGTTCTATTTGCGGCCCTCATCGGAGTTTAATATGCACGCCCGCCACCCGCATACTATAAACAGCTACAAGATGCAGGGTTGTCACCAATTTTGAAAATTATCTATTTTCTTTTAGGTGAATGGGTCTAAACCTGTGAAATTGTGTATACGTGGTACTTAAAACCGCTCGATCGAACCAATGAGAGGCCCAATTTGATGGCTCAATTTGATCGTGTAACTGGACCTTAAGGAAGAACGCCGTATGAACATTCGAGAGTTGCCAAATTTCCCTTGATAAAACATGTATTTTTTACAACATTCATGCGTATTTATCCTTGAAATTTTCAGATATTTTAGATTAAATTGAGTACAAAATTTTCTGAAAATTTCGGAAAATAATATTCGCAACTTTCCCGGTAAAGTCGGTTTTTATCGGACGAAACGTGGCAACGTCCGTCGGCTCGATTACCTGCATAGCGAGAGTATGGGCAGATCGCATCATGGAGGGCTTAGGGCCCAAAAGTGCAGCCATTCTTCTAACCAACTTCTAACACACAAAATTTCACTGCCAGTCTGCAGAGTCTGCAAATTCCAATTCTAACCAAGATGGCCAAGAATGTACAGAAAAGAGCGTTCTTCCGCAAAAATGAGTAAATTAATGCAAAAACTGAGTCAAATACGTGCTTTATAAACGACGGTTCGTAACAATAGTATTAGTAAATCGTTCTGCATAATCGAAATTCATAGGTTGGCTGCATTTCTGGGCCCTAACTTTATTCGTAGAAGCATCGGTGAAGGCCTGATGGATTTTCGGAGTTTCACATCTGTCCAGACTCTCGCTATACAGGTACTCTACAGTCATCTATCCAAAAAGTAACCCGAATCGAGTTGCGAAAAAAACAGTTTTTCACCATGCAGACATCTTTGTCGTGAATGCATCCAGTTATTTGTGCTCTGTCGGAGGTAGGCAACACCGAAGTTGATCCAGGATACGAGAGATGGGAGGGGAGGGGGGTTGGGATTGGGACGGGACTTTCACTGTTACGCGAACAGGTACACCCGGTTGCAGATATGGTGCGAATGCGACCGAGTTGCCGGATACAGCGATAGAAAGCGCATTTTGAACAGACTCGGACATTAATGCATGGAACATACATTCCTTGTCACGCTACTATACGCTGCCCATCGATCCTCCAACACTAATCAGTCAGCTCAGCCGCGCTCATCATTCAACGAGTCAATTAGAAAAGTCTCAAATCCGCTACTAACTACACAATCTGCTTAAGAACAGAGTAGATATATTGTAAAGCCCTGGATACACGCTCAAATTCCGCCCTGGTGAAAATTGGCGATAAGAGCTGCGTTTCAAAATACTATAGGAATTCTTATAGCCGACTAAAGAAGGCTACAGAAAATCATACAGCTGACTGTAGAATATGGAGAAAATTATACGGCCGGGCTATACGAAGGGATAAAAAATGATGCAGCCGGGCTATAGTTCCTATCGCCGGGCTTTACACTTTATCGCCTGGCTGTTACTTTTTCGCCATCGATTATAAAAGGCTATAAGAAATTGTGTAGAAATTCGTGTGCTTTGGAAATCGTTAAGTTTGATACGGAACCACCTTCATATTTACAAAACACACATTATGTTTTCCTTTAATACATATTTTTTTTCATCAATTAAAATGAGAATAATCCATACAGGATGTGCAAACATTTCAAAGTCATGAGTTGAATACCGCTGACTCCGCCAGATTAAATATTAGAGCCTAACACAAAGCGGCGCGGCGACGCACTGGCGCCTACAAACCTAACAGGGATACTTCACGCATTGCGCAACGCGTGAAGTATCCCTGTTAGGTTTGTAAGCGCCAATGCGCGTTTCGCGCTGGCTGCCCGCCTGCCGCGCCGCAGCGTGCCACGGCGCTTGAAGCAACTATTTCACACCAGAGGTATTGCACAGCGTCATACGAAACTGAAGGCGCTCTAATATATTAGTAATGGTAGGCATCCATCAAAAGAACGGAGCTTTCCTCGCAGAATAAATCAAGATACTACGGCCCGAAAAGAGAGCAGTATTCCAAAAACTCACTAAGTCCTAGCATCCGTAATTAGTAACTTTTAGCATAAACTTTATCGTCTGGCTGTTGCTTAATCGCCATCGGCTATACCTAAAAGGCTAAGAAATTGTGTAGCCGGCTGTAGGTCTATGGTATTTTGGAACACAGATTCTACTGCTAATTTTTACCAGGGCGAACCGATTCCGATCAAAGTAGACATGCTGATGACTGATGGTCAACATCTACCATCAAATGGCGGGCCGCACTATTTTGTTCTAAGTAAGATCAGAATGGAGTGCCGCCATTCATCATTTCCTGCCACGGGAAACAATTCTGCCATGTTTTCATTTTAAAATTAAGCAAATTAATGAGTTTAAGACTGATGACTCCCGACACTTTGATGGTAATTGGTTCGGGAATTTGATCGTCTATCGAGACCTTAAGGCGAATTTTCGAGACCGGATTCGTTTAACCTTTTGGACAGATGACTGTCGCATCAACCTTGGAATTTGGACCAATCAGAATCGATTATCTAATTCTTGACCAAATCCTGGCGAAAACGAGCCAAATCCCGGATTAGGTTTGAAAAAACGCGCCAATTGGCCAATGAAACATAACTTACTCTACTATGCAAAATATCATACAAACTATAATGTACACATATACACAAATATGTGCACATTTTACACTTTAATTCATCATC